GAACTTGCCGGGAGGACGAGGGTGCTGGGTGGCAGGCAGGCTCGGGGTGCGCCCCGGGAGGAGGCGAGGCAGGGGACCGATCCCCCCCATCCTCCCCCGCGAAGCCCGGGGGCTCTGCGCCGTTGTCCCCTTCCCGGGGCGGGGTAGGGTGGGCGGGCTCCCCCCACCACCTCGGGTCCCCCTCACCCCGCACCCCACCCCGGGGAGGGGCCGCGGGGCGCGCCAGCTGCGGTTGCCGTGGTGACGGCTCCGGCTAAGCGGCCGGTGGAGCGAGGCCTGGGCTCCCGCCGGCCGGGGAGGGACAAGGACGGGGCGCGTCCGTGGGGCGCTGGGCGTGGAGGATGTGTATGTGTGGGGTGAGGGTGTGGGGGGGGGGACAGAGACCTGAGCGCACTGGATGGCCGGGCCTGTCACTTATTCCTTTGCGTAGGGGGTTCTGGAAGTTGGGGACACTCCCCTCTTACCGATTCTCCAAGCTCCCCCAAGAATCTTCATCCTGAATGAACTTCCTAGCACCCCGGGTTGTTTTATTGGGGGGGGTGCGGTGGGGACTGAGGGCGGGATGGGTGCTTGGAGAAAGGGACGTTTTCTCCCGCAGGGAGGGAAGTGGAGACAGGTCAGCACCAAGGTCACGGAGCGAGACCCGCAGACACGCCCGCCCGTGGAGCTGCCGTGAACCCCACAGCCCCCCCTCCACACCACCCCCCGGGCCGGGACTCCCACAGCCTGTCCCCTCGGTCACAGCTGGGGGGCTCACTGGGCGGGGGGGGCTTGCCTTGTCCTCTGGCTGGCAGCAGCCCGGAACACTATGGTCTCTCGCTGGCACAGCCTCACCCATCTCTCCTGGCTTGGATTTTCTGGCTCGGTTTCCCTTTCGCGGGATTCCCCAGGTCCTCCTTTCAAGTTCAATGAAGGTCACATTTGCTGTGCGTCTACTGCTTGCTGCCTGTGGTCGGAAGTGGAGGAGGGGGGGTGTTCTTGAATAATCCCCAATAAACATCTGGTGGCCACTGTGTGTGTGTGTGTGTGTGTGTGACACCACTGGGAATCCCTGTCCCTCTGACCACACACACACACACACACACACACACACACACACAGAGGCAAGGAACGTTACAAGTGTTATCTATTCTTTCTGCTTTTCTCTTTTGTACTGGTTCTGGGGTTTGAACTCAGGGCCCTTGTGGTTATGCTTGGCTTTTTCACTTAAGGTCGGCATTCTACAGCCTGAGCCCCATGCTCCTCTACTTCCAGCTTTTTGCTGGTTCATCAGAGATAAGAATCTCTTGGCCTTTTGTGCCCAGGTGGTCCTTAGATCTCACCCAGGTTTACAGATGTGAGCCACCGGTGCCTGACTGAATCTACTTCAGCTTTTTTCTGCTTATGTGGTGTTGAGGAACTGAACCCAGGGATTCTATGGTTCTTTTTTTTTTTTTTTTTTGTCGGCCATGGGGCTTGAACTCTGGGCCTGGGCGCTGTCCCTCAGCTCTTCAGCTCAAGGCAAGAGATAAGAGTTTATTGGAGATAGGAGTTTCACAGACTTTCTTGCCCGGGCTGGCTTTGAACTGTGATCCTCAGATCTCAGCTTCCTGAGTAGCTAGGATTACAGGCGTGAGCCACTGGTGCTTGGCTTGATTCTATGGTTCTTGACAACTGTTTTTAATACAGAGATACTGAATGATTTGCCCAAGGCCACACAGCTGCTTAGAGGCACAGGTGAGATCTGGGTGTGGGGGTGCACCATTAAGCATCTCATAGGTGAATGGCTCCGTGATCCTGACTTTCCTTCTAGAACAAGTGGCTGAACTTTTTCAGGAAAGTTCCAGATCTTGTATATATATATACACATGCACACATGTATATGTATATGTATATGTATATATATATATATATATATATATATATATATATATATATATATATATATATATAATTTCCCCTTCAAGATCCACAGGGTCCCTGATTGTATTACTAAGGCAGCCATTGCGATGGAGTCAGCGTGGCTGTGTTCCGATAACATTTGTTGTGAACATGAAGTTTGACTTCTATAGTCTACGCATTGTGTTTTGAGAACATGTCAAGGAGCCTTCATGATGCTGTGGAGGAATTAACTAACCTTTTGGTTGCTTCTTGTCAACCACTTAAAAGTACATCAGTCACTCCTAGCTGGTGGGCTGTGTAGGAGCAGGTTCGGGGCTGGGTTTGGTTCACAAGCCTTACTTATCGTTGGCATTTTATCTTCTAGCGTGCCCTAGGGGTCTCAAACCTGTGAACTCAGAGGGTCCGATGTGAGGAAGGGCTCTGCAAGCCGGTGCCCTCAGAGCATCTTCCTGCCCCCTTGGGTCTTCTTCCTGGTTCTCTTTGCTCCCGCACCTAGGTACCCCAGCAGGGTGTGTTCTCCATAGCCTTGTAAATGATTCTCTTTGACCGCCCCATGTCCAGGGAATACTCTACCCCTTAAACTGAGAGAACGTGCCTGGGGTCTTGTCGGAAGAAGCCCTTTATATCAAACTTGTTTTTTCTTTAAACCCTTAGTGGATCCTGGAATTTGAACTCAGGACCCTGGTACTTACTAGGCCATGGCTCTGTCACCTAATCCACACCTCTAGACCTTGTTGCTTTTAGTGGCTTTTTCAGATAAGGTCTCTTCACTTTTACCCAACTCAACTTTGGAGCCTAGTCCTCCAACCTCTGCCTCTAAGCAGCTGGAACTACACACCCAGCCTCTGTCAAACATTTTTTTTTTTTAATTTGCTGCAAGACTCGGAAAGACCCAGCGTTCAGCAGACAGGGCACAGCTGCATCAGCCAGGATGGTTCCAGATGCCTAGCAGGGTCTACTGGGTCCTCCAGATTCTGTTCTCTGTGTGGATTGGCTTTGGATTTTGAGAGTGTTTGTGCTTTAGTGCCTTTTTTCTGTTTCCCAGGCTGCAATAATTCATGTCACTACAAGGATTTTGAATTTTAGTGTTAATACTTTTTTTTCTTTTATTCATCTTTGGTAATTTTGGGGGGTCTAAACTCAGAGCCTTTCATTTGCTAGGCAAATTCTCTGCCACTTGAGCCATACCTCTAGTCCCTTTTGGCTTTATGTTATTTTTTTCTTTAATTGAGTCTTTTAGTGTTGCCCAGAGCAGCCTTGGATTGAGATCCTCTTACCTACAGATTCCAGTTTATCTGGGGCTATAGATACTTACCAGCATGACCAGCTTATTGGTTGAGATGGGAGTCTTGCCTGGACTAGCCTTGAACCCTGCTCCTCCCCCTCTCTGCCTCCCAGGTGGCTGGGATTACAGGTGTGAGCCACTACACATGCCAACTTAATTTTTTCCCCTATAATAAGTGGATTCATTTATATATTTTTTAACTTAAAGAAGTCATATGCAAAGTTAACATGTGTGTCATGGCTGTAAGAGAAAACCAGGGTCACATGACAGACCCAGAAGGCAGCTGGAAAGATAAACAGAAGGAGAGTAATGTCACATTATTAAATTCCAGCTGGACTGGGCTACTGCAGGGTTCTGAGCTGGCCTCTGCTTCCTTTGTTTGCAAGGAAGGATGGAGAATGAACAAGTGTCAGAAAGATATTGACAACCTTATAAAAGATCTGGGAGAGAACACACACACACACACACACACACACTTTCCCCTCCTCCGTTCATCTCTGGGCTACAGAACTCCAAACCTGCCTGGTTTACTTGGCTCTTTGGAAGAACCAGCTGGAAAAGGAGGAGAGAAGGTAGAGCTTTGAACCTAGGAGGAAAAAAGATGGGGCGGGACCAAAAGAAGAGCTCATGGCTTTCTTTCCAACACCCCCCCCATTAGTGGGTGGCCATAGGAAACACCCCCCCCATCCCTGACGCTGGATTGGAAGCCGGCCCTGGGGAGGGCGGGGAGCCTGCCTGCGTGGTAGATGATCGTGTCCTTCGGGTTGGTTTCCTGGTTATTTCTGCATTAAGAAGGGTTTGATTCCCCCCGTGCAGCGTGGCTGTATTGGATAGCACGACTCTTTCTACCCGCTTTGATTCATCATAGCAGACACAGTGCAAATCGAATCGAAATGCTCGAGTTTCCCCTGCATTCCCTGTTAGCTAAGGCAGAGGCTCCTAGCAGAGCTGAGAATAGCCATAGCAGGTTAGCAAGTTCGCTCCTGGCCCAGGATGGTGAGTGAGAAGGGGGAGCCATGCTTGTGTTTTGTGATTTGTTGTGTTTTGGTTTTTGAGTTGCTGGAATAATGCTAAACAGGTTCTCTCTCTCTCTCTCTCTCTCTCTCTCTCTTTCTCTCTCCTCTCTTTGCCTCCCCCTTTGGCTTTCATCATGGATATATCAAAGGGCAGTTGGAACCATTAAACGAGGTGGGTCACTGTGCTGATGTCTGAATTCTAATCCAGAACCTTTTATTCTGGAGACGGGTTGTGTGGAGTCTGTGGGACTGGGGACCGAAACCAGAATTATCGGATGTTGGCAAGACACCGTTTCTGGTCCTTTCTCCTGAAAAGAGAGCCGGGTAAAAGGGACATTAACAACTTTTTTGGTTTCCCCACCCGCACCCCAATGGCCAATGTAGTTTTATGTCCTCCTCCCTGCTTCCCAAATGACTCGATTTCTGGAAATAATCTCTTCTCTGCTTGCAAGAGGAGAGTCTCAGGCATTCTGCTTGGAGAACATATTGTCTAGCTCTCCTGATGTTGTGTAGAACCAACCACGTGGCAAGAAAAGGAATTCACATAAACGAGAGAGAGAGAGAGAGAGAGAGAGAGACCTGTGAATACTTTTGCTAGGTGCTCTTGTTTGCCAGCCTCGTGGGTAAATACACACGGGATGTATGTTGTACTGAACGTTCGCTCACAGGGACAGAACTCTGAATGACTGTGTCCTGGGAGAGACGGGCTGCTTGTAATTTGGGATATTGTTCCTCCTCTTCCTCCTCCTCCTCCCCCGCCTCCTTGCCCCCATGGCCTCAGGGTTTTCTTTCTAGAATCTCTGATGTGCTGCTGTGCAGATGGACCTGGCGGCTTTGCTGTCAGAAATGTTACGAATCCAGCTGCTGCCAGTCCAATGAGGATGAAGTTGAAATCCTGGGACCTTTCCCTGCCCAGACGCCTCCCTGGCTGTGAGTATCTGTTTGGAAATTCACCTCCAAACAAATGAGCCATCGCTGTCTCTCTGTCTCTGTCTCTCTCTCAACAGCCCTCCCCACAGGAGGGAGGGAGGCAGGGGATGGGGCAGAAGAAGAGGCTGAGTTTCTATGGGCATTGTGGCTAAGGAGGTGTGTGTGTGTGTGTGTGTGTGTGTGTGTGTGTGTGTGTGTGTGTGTTTGCACCCTTCATTTGATTTGGCAAGCTGCTGAGACCAGCTGGCTGTGGCTTTCATTTCAGTGAGTTTCCCATCAGGCTTTGGAGATGCCAGCCTGGCAATGTTAGTCCTGTGGCACTTGGGTGTCACAATGAGTGGCATTCCAAGTGTGTGTGTGTGAGATCGGGGGACTCTGGGGTGCTCTCCAGAGTGGCCAGATGCGGACAGATGTTGGGAGTTCCTGATCTAGCACGTGCAGTGGGCTGTCCTAACCTACCCGGGGAGGTAGGAGTTCGGTGGACACCTGCGGCACGGATGGGTGGACGGACAGCAGGTGCAGTGGCCTGCTGGGACTCAGAGCATGATCTGCAGACAGGGAGGAGAGGAGGCAGGAAACACTTCCAGCCCCACCCTGCCCTCCAACACGCTTTCTGCGCGCTCTGGCAGCTTTCATTTGATTTCTGCTTCTCTCCCCTCCCGCGCCTGCATCCAGCATCTCCATCTGCCAGTCCCTCGGATATTTTGGGAAGGCCGTTTTGAAGTTTCCTAGCCACGTGTCTGGTCTCCCTCTTGGAGACTGGGGAGAGGGATGTGGTCAGATGGTGGAGAGAGACAGGGAGGCCCGCGCTGAGAAAGGTCTGGAAATTATCAAGGGTAGTTCTCAAAGCTCAAGGAGGAAATCCAGCAAGGAGACAGCGCCAGGGTGAATGTTGGGGTCCCCTCCCACCAGGCTGTTCCAGTTAAATCCTTGGGCTGGAATGAGCGTGACCTTCAGTGCCCTGTCTTTCCAAGTTGGGAGTCAGGAGTTTGGGGCTAAGCTGAGCCATATAGTGAGACTGTCTCAAACAAACAAATGAAAGAAAAAAAAAACCCAACAACTCCAAAGTGGTAAAGCCAGGTGCACTGATGCCTCATACCTGTAATCCTAGCTAGCTCTGAGGGTAGTGGTCCTAAACCACTAACTGTGAGATTTTTATCTCCAGCAAAAAGCTAGAAGTGGAGGTATGGCCCACGAGGTAGAGCACCAGCCTTGATTTAAAAAAGCTAAGGGAGCAGGGTGCTGGTAGTTTACACCCATATTCTTAGCTACTCAAGAGGCTGAGATCTGAGGATCATGGGTCAAAGCCAGCCCAGGCAGGAAAGTTTGTGAGATTCTTATCTCCAGTTAACCACCTGAAAACCAGAAGGTGAACTCAAAGTGGCAGAGCACTCGCCTTGAGCAAAGCCACCGTTCAGGGACAGCACCCCAGGCCCTGAGTTTAAGTCCCATGACAGAGATAGAAAAGAAAGAAAAAGCTAAGGGAGAGGATGAAGCCCTGAGTCCAAGACTCAATACCAGCACACACACACATACACACACCACAGGTAAATGACATGCACAGAACATGCTTAGCACATTAGAAAGAGCTCTGCAAATCACATCTGTTTTCATCCGGTCTTGACCTATGTAAAGAGATGTTCAGGAATTCTTGAAGCTTGACTCCAGCAGGTACATTGATTGCTCAGGTGTTGTTGTGGGAGGGAGGGAGGCAAATTAACCAAGAACTAATTCCCATCGGCACAGGATTGGTGAGGCAGAGTCACTCAGTACATGTGGTATCTTTAAAGCTGCTCACAAGGACACCTAAGAAAGGTAGGGATCCTTGTCTGATCTGATCAAGAAAGAACAAAGCAAAATGCTGGACACTGGTGGCTCACGCCTGTCATCCTAGCTACTCAGGAGGTTGAGAAGCATGGTTCAAAGCCAGCCCGGGCAGGAACATCTGTGAGACATTTATTTCCAATGAACCACCAGAAAACTGGAGGTGGCTCAAAGTGGTGGAGCGCTAGCCTTGAGCAAAAAAGATCAAGACAGAGCCCAGGCTCTGAGTTCAAGCTCCAAAACTGACCAAAATAAATTAAAATTAAAACCCAGCTGTTAACTAAGCTCCAGACAGAAACTGAATCCTTAACATGCCGTTGGTACCATTGGAAAGTTGTGTCACTCTCTTTGGTAGTTATTTCTTAAGGACACTGTGGCAGGCATAGTAGTCCACATGCCAGATCCAGTCTCCTTACCAGTCTCTAAAGCAGGGATGGAAGTCTAGTTAACTCTCAAAGTTGTGGATCCACATCCCGCACATCCTATGTGACAACATCTAACGTAAAAACCCAGGGACAATGGCTCTGGTGTGCTGGCTCCAGCAGCTCACATGATATGCCCACTCTCTCTATTGCTTTTCTAAATTGGCCTCAATTTTAAGCCTGCTTTCTTCAGATGTGGCAGCCTGAGATTTACATGGTAGCTTTGCAGAGAAACAACAACCACTATGAAAGACTGTCTGTACCAATCACTTGTCCCAGCTAGAAACTGTCCACTCCGGAGTCAGGGTGGAGGTCAGTCCTCTGGACAAAGCTAGTCTGGCATGTGTTAAGCTCTCCAGACCTGAGTCAGGTGCACAGAGCAAGCAGGAGTGGGCATGGGCGTGGCTGTACCCCAGTGACGTCACTCCTATGCTCCAATGACGACGCTCCAAAGCCCAGCAGTGGGTGTGGCCCTGTAGTCGTGGGTGTGGCTCTGTGGCGGAGTAGGAGTGCTGTGCCCAGACAGGAGAGGGTAGACCCTGTCGGGAGACGCCTAAAATGGGCACTGCGCTTGAGCAAAGTGGGGAATGGGCCCTGCAGGCTCAGATCCTGTCAGGTCTTGAAGATGAGTTAAGGAATTTGGGGACTCTCCATCTGCCACCAGATCCCCGGAAGCTGGGTGTCACAGCCTGGGTTAAGGATGCTCTATTTTTTTCTTTTTTGTTTCTTTGTTTCGTTTTTGTTGGTCGTGGGGCTTGAACTGGGGATGTGGACACTGTCACTGAAGGCTAGCAGCGCTCTACCACTTTGAACCAACAGCGACATGTCCGGCTTTCTAGTGGTTCAGTGGAGGTAGACTATCCTGCCCGGGCTGGCTTTGAACCACAGTCCTCAGATCTCAGCCTCCTGAGTTGCTAGGATTATAGGCTTGAGCCACCAGCACTGGAGAGGTTTGGTCCTCTTGAGAGATTCTTGTTTGGGTTTTGCTACAAGCAGAGAAGCAGGCTGGAGCTCTGCAGCATGGGTAGTACCCCATGTAACCACGAATGGCAGCACCATCGATGTAGTGGTGGTTGCTATGAGTGTGAACAGCACCCTGCAGAGTTGTGCAGTCTGCAGTATGAGCAAACATTCAGGTCCTTCCTGCTTTCCCAAGGCCAGCCAGGTCTTTCTGAACCCTTGAGCTGCACTGATCTCATTTTTTTTTGGGGGGGGCATTTGATATAATGCAAAATGGTTAAGGGAAATCTGTAAAGGGGAGGTGAGATTAAATCATTCAAAAGCAATTTGTGTGTGTGTGTGTGTGCGCGTGTGCGAGTACACGCACTGATACTAAGGCTTGAACTCAGGATCTGGTGCTCTCCCTTAACTTTTTCATTCCAGGCTGGTGCTCTACTACTGGAGCCACAGCTCTACTTCTTGCTTTTTGCTGGTTAATTGGAGATGAGAGTCTCACCGACCTTTCCTGCTTTGGAACCGTAATCCTCAGATCTCAGCCTCCTGAGTGGCTGGGATGACAGGCGTGAGCCACCGGTGCCCAGTGTCTGGCTGCACAAAGCAGATTTGCAGCTTGTGTTCCCCACAGATTTATTTACCAGGCAGGCAGTTGGGTGTTATCAAACAGGCAGGCAGTGGAAATGTCAAGTACACGGGCCTTGTGGCACTGTTCCTGCCATAGCACCAGAGTGGAGGACCCTCTGGCTCATCTCTGCAGTGTGTTGGATGTGCTGGTCCTGTGTGCGCTGTGAGTGTGATCTTGGGGATGTGGCATTGTCACATGTACTGTGTCACAGGGACCCTGGGGCTGGGGCTGGCTAGCTTGGGGCCAGTTGTACAATTTGATTGTCTCCTTTGGGGGCAATGCCAAGAGGCCTCTTATAAAAATGAATGGAAGTGAAATGGCTCACTTGTTCAGGCCATGAGTCAGTGCCCAAGGCTCTTACAGGCCTTGCAGGGAATACCTAGCCTAGCCAGCGGCAGGGGCGCCCATAGCTGGGCATGGCAGACAGTGGAGGTTTGAGCACCACCAACTGCTTCCTTTGATCTTTGCCACATACAGATCCTGCTGTGTGAATGTTGGGGGGGGGGTGTCTGTCATGACAGGGGCAAAAGACAGGGACAAAATGAACCAGATAAGAACCACAAGAAAGGAGACTGGGAATGGGGCTCAGTGGTAGAGTGCTTGTCTAGCATGCATGAAGCCCTGGGTCCGATTCCTCAGTACCACATATGCAGAAAAAGTCAGAAGTGGCGCTGTGGCTCAAGTGGTAGAGTGCTAGCCTTGAGCAAAAGCAGCTCAGGGACAGTGCCCAGGTCCTGAGCTCAAGCCCCAAAAACAAAACAAAACAAAAAAAAAACCACATACAAGAAGGGTACGTCCTCCTTCCTTCCCTCCCTCCATTCCTTCTTCCCTCCTTTTCTTCTTCCTTCTCTCTCTTCCTCCTTCCCTTCCTTCTCTCCCACCTTCCTTTCTCTCTTCCTTTCTTCCTCCTTCCCTGACTCCCTCCTTCCCTTCCTTCCTCCTTCCTCCTTCTCTCCCTTTCCTCCCATCCTACCTTCTCTTCTTTTCCTTTTTCTCTTTCTTTTTTCCTTCCTTTCTTTCTTTCTTTCTTCCTTTCTTTCTTTCTTCCTTTCTTTCTTTCTTTCTTTCTTTCTTTCTTTCTTTCTTTCTTTCTTTCTTTCTTTCTTTCTTTCTTTCTTTCTTTCTTTCTGTTGGTTGTGGAGCTTGAACTCTAGGCCTGGGCATTGTCCCTCAGTTCTTCAGCTCAAGGCGAGCACTCTACCACTTGAGCCACAGCACCACTTCTGGTTTTCTGGTGGTTAATTGGAGATAGAGGCTCACTGATGTTCCTACCCCGGCTGGCTCTGAACTGCAATCCTCAGATCTCAGCCTCCTGAGTGGCTAGGATTACAGGCGTGAGCCACCAGCTCCCAGCTCCTTCTTTTTTCCTTTTTCCCTCCTTTTCTGTCCTCCTCCTCTTCTCCTTCTTTCCCTTCTTCCCTTCCTCTCCATTCCCCCTTTCTTCCTCACTTTTCCTTCCTTCCATTCTTCTCTTCCTTTCTCCTTCCTTCCTTCTCCTTCTCTCTTTCTCTTCTCCTCTCTCTCTCCCTCCCCCCACTCCTTTCTTTTTTCTCCCTCTCCCTCCCTCCCTTCTTTCTTTCCTTGGAAAGTGGCACAGCAGACGCCCCCATGCCAAGACTGAGTGCTCAGGGCCAGCTGGGCAGTGTCCAGCTAGTGAGAGGAGTCACCACTTACTGTCAGCTAAAGGGCAGAGCAGTCCCAGAGAGGAGTGAGCGGCCAGGAGGGGTCCTTGGCCCTCTGAGCAAGTGTCCTGGTAGCCAGACCCTCTCGGGGAGGAGCTTCACAGGTGTGAGGTCTGGCGCCTGGCAGAGGACAGGGGCTCGGTGGCTGGGGGACGGGCAGCGGGGGCTGGGGTGGACACATGGGCAGCTGGGTCTGAGAGACTGAAGGGGCCGATAATGAGGGAGCTGGGGGCCCCTCTGGGAAGCAGAGCTACCCAGAGGGACAGGTTCCAGGGTCATCTGGGCCAGCCCACCAAAGAGAGGGTGGCTGCTTTTGTTCAAGGGGCAGAGGAGGGACACTGCAGTGATTTGACCCATAGCCACGGCCCTCCAAGTCCCCCCTCCCCTTGCCGGCAGGGGGGAGAAGGAAGCCTGGGAGTCCCCCCCCCCTTCTGGCAGTGTCCGCTTGTCCTGACCCTGCAGGGCACTGGGCGGCCAGCTGACCCTCTCATCGTGTAAGATGATCCCGAAGACCTCCTGGAACTCAAAGCTTGCCATTCTGAAGCTGAGTTTGCCTGCAGCCTTAAATGTCAGGCTGACGCGCAATGCAAGCAGGGAAGGAAGAAAGCTGCGTCAATTAAGGATCAAGGCCTTAGAGCACCATCTTCTGCCCCATTGCCAGACTCCCCCCGGCACCCTGCCCAGCTGGAGGGTTGCCATAGTCATCCATCTCTCTCTCTCTCTCTCTCTCTCTCTCTCCCTCATCTCACCTAGATATATTATCAGTCTGTGCATCCGCTCATCGATCCATCATCTCTATCTACCCATCCTATATTATCTTTCTTTATCATATTTATCATCTATCTAGATATGTCATCTGACTACCCATCTGCCTGCCTATCTATCTATCTATCTATCTATCTATCTATCTATCTATCTATCTATCTTTTTGTGTATTTCTGTGTGTGTGTGTGTGTTAAGAAACCTGTAGAGCCCATGCTAATCTCAATCTGAGACTCTCCTGCCTCGACCTCAAAATGCTGGGATTATATGCATACAGCACCACTCCTGGCTTGGGATAGAGGGTTTTTTCCCCTTCTTTTTTCTTTTGGTCTGTAGTGGGGCTTGAACTCAGGCTTGGGCGCTGTCCCTGAGTTCTTCTACTCCAGGCTATGACTCTACCACTTTTTGCCACAGAGTCACTTCTGGTTTTCTGGTGGTTTATTGGAGAGAAGAATCTCATGGACTTCCCTGTGGAACTGGGATTACAGGCATGAACCCCCATACATGTACCCAAGCCTGACACCAGTGTTTGCCAGAGTGTTCTATGTTGGGGAATAAACCCTTTGCCACAGTTCCTATTTTGTGCAAAGATCAAGGCAGTGTTGAGGGTTTCTGTATACAACACTCGTTCAAGGCTGTCTCATTGCAAGAGGTGTAAAGCAGGTGAGAGAGCTGGTCTATCTGTGGCTGCAGATCCCAGCGCTCAGCTTGCATTTCTGCTGGCTTCCTTCTCTAGTCTGTGAGCAGGGCAGATAACAGATGAACTAGCAGGGAGACACAGGGGGGGACCCCGGAGGGTTCTTCAACAACCACCGGAATCTTGTCCCCCTCCTGCAGGGTGGCCAGCCGGAGCAGTGACAAAGATGGCGACTCTGTCCACACAGCCAGCGACGTCCTGCTGACCTCACGGACCAATTCCCCCGATGGGCGCCGCTCCTCGTCTGACACATCCCGATCCACATACAGCCTGACCAGGAGGATTTCCAGTGAGTCCATCTCGGGGAGGGTGGGGGTCGAGACTGGCCTTCCCAGACACCCCTCCGTGTCCTTGAGCAGAAATGGCAAGGGCGGGGCTGTTGTGGAGGAGGCAGAGGGAGGTGGCGTCTAGGGCCCAGGGCAGCAGAGATGACAATGTGGCAGAGGATGGGCTCACATTTCACCTGTCCCACTGAGTTTGGTGGGACATGGCCACTTCCACTGATCACAAGTTTGATCAGATTGTTTTTTTTTTCTTTCTTTTCTTTCCTTTGTTGTTTTTGCTCATGGGGTTTGAACTCTGGGCCTGGGCGCTGTTCCTCAGCTCTTCAGCCTTGAGCTGAAGAGCCACAGTGCAATTCTGGTTTTCTGGTGGTTTATCAGAGATAAGAGTTTCATGGACTTTCCTGCCCAGGCTGGCTTTGAACCATGATCCTCAGATCTCAGCCTCATTCCTGATCAGCGCCCGGCTGATCAGGTTTTCTGAGTCAATTGAATTGATCATTCCAGGGTTACTGTGTTACAGAGTGGGGCTTGCCCATTTGGGGGACCTTGAGGATTCTGGGCCTGTGTCAGTGGCTGGGTACAGAGGACTGGACAAAACCCAAATCACCCTCTGTCAGGCCAGGTGCTGTCCCTGAGCTTTTTCACTTGAGGCTGGCACTCTACCACTTAAACCACACTTCCATTTTTGTCTTTTTGGTGGTTAAGTGGAAATAAGAGTCTCATGGACTTTCCTGCCCTGGCTGGTTTCAAACCTAGATCCTCAGATCTCAGTAGCCTCCTGAGTAGCTAGGATGACAGGTGTGAGTCACCGGGGTCCGGGGTCCTCATGGCTGTTTCTGTGATCATCGTGTAGATCTGGATTCCAGACGTCCCAGCTCCCCACTCATCGACATCAAACCCATCGAGTTTGGGGTGCTCAGTGCCAAGAAGGAACCCATCCAGCCCTCGGTGCTCCGCCGGACTTACACCCCGGATGATTACTTCCGCAAGTTCGAGCCCCGCCTGTACTCCCTGGACTCCAGTGGCGGCGGCGATGGCGGCGGGGATGATATGGACTCGCTGACAGATGAGGAGATCCTGTCCAAGTACCAGCTGGGGAAACTCCACTTCAGCACACAGTATGACCTTCTGCACAACCATCTCACCGTGCGGGTGATCGAGGCCCGGGACCTGCCTCTCCCCATCTCCCACGACGGATCTCGCCAGGACATGGCCCACTCCAACCCCTATGTCAAGATCTGCCTCCTGCCCGACCAGAAGAACTCCAAGCAGACGGGGGTCAAACGCAAGACCCAGAACCCCGTGTTCGAGGAGCGGTACACCTTTGACATCCCCTTCCTGGAAGCCCAGCGGAGGACCCTGCTCCTCACGGCCCTGGATTTCGATAAGTTTTCCCGCCACTGTGTCATCGGGAAAGTGTCCGTACCCCTGTGCGATGTGGACCTGGTCAAGGGCGGGCATTGGTGGAAGGCGCTCATCCCCAGTTCGCAGGTAAGTGTGCTTCATACAAGGGTTACTTTGTGATTTTCATATTTGAGAGTATCTCACTGTTGTTGTAGTGGTTGTTTTTGTGTAGGGCTTGAACTCTGGGCCTGTGTGCTGTTCCTGAGCTCTTTTGCTCAAGGCAAGCACTCTACCACTTTGAGCCACAGCACTGATTCTGGTTTTCTGGTGGTTCATTGGAGATAAGAGTCTCCTGGACTTTCCTACACAGGCTGGCTTCGAACCACGATCCTCAGATCTCAGCCTCCTGAGTAGCTAGGAGTAGAGGCGTGAGCCGGGTGTGCCTGGATCCCATGTGTTGCGTTGCGTTGTGTTGTTTTAATATTGAAAAGATTTTGGAATGCTCTTCATCTGTTGTTCTCCTAAGAATAGCATTTTGGCCAAGTGACCTTGGGTCGTGCTTGTAATCCTACCTGCTCAGGAGGCTGAGATTTGAGGATCAAGGTTAGAGGCCAGTCTAGGCACAAAAGCTCATGAGCATCAGCCATTAAAATGAAAAGAAAAGAGAAAAAAACAAGTCAAATGAGAGCTTGAGCTTGAGACCTGGAGTTTAAACCAATGAAGGGGGCACCCACTCAGGAGGTATCCCTCCCCTTCCACCCCCACCCCCATGCCTCTGGGACAGGGAAGGGGCTAGGCCCCCACCTCTCACAAACCCCAGGAGAGATGGTGGACCTCACTTGTTGCTACAGCTCCATAGCTTCCAGCTTTGGACCTGGTCCTGAGTTCCAAGGTCAACAGGAAATGTCCCCACCATCCCAGAGGAGCCAAGCCAGCCCGAGTTGTCATTTATTCTCAGGGTCTGCCGCACTTTGGAGGACTCAGTAGAAGCTTTTTGAGTGGAATAATAGTGTGTATAGAGCATTAGCTTTTTTCATTTCTTTTTTTTTTCTTTTTTTCCAGTTCTAGGGATGGAACCAGGGCTTTGTGCATGCTCGGCAAATTATTATTATTATTATTGTTGTTGTTATTTGGCAGTATTGGGGCTTGAACTCTGGGCCTTGCATTCTCATTCAGCTTGTGTGCTTGGCTGGTGCTCTTCCTCTTGAGCCACACCCTCAGCTCTGCTTTTTGCTGGTTAATTGGAGATGGAGTCTCACAGATTTGTGGTATGTGTGTGTGTGTATGTGTGTGTGTGTGTGTGTGTGTGTAAGACAGAGAGAGAGAAAGAGAGAGAGAGAGAGAGAATACTGAGGCTTGAGCTCAGAGCCTGGGCACTGTCCCTTTGCTGTTTTACTAAAAAAGCCACAGCTCCATTTTCAGGGTTTTTTTTTTTGGTGGTTAACTAGAGATGAGAGTATCATGTCTCTTACCCAGGCTGGCTTTGAACTATGATTCTCAGATCTCAGTCTCCTGAGCAGCTAGGATGACAGGCGTGAGCCACCAACGCAAATTCTGCTGTCTCAATCATGCAGTGAGCAGACAATAGATAGGAGCTGAATTAGTTTTTCAAATCTTCTGTTTTAAAGGCTCACAAAAGAATCAAGAAGGAGATCAGAGTTTTCTCTTGGACACTTGCACACACACACACACACACATACACACACAAGTACATCTGGCCAGACCAGGCTGTCATCATTATTACCCAGCACCCACAGCTTGCAGTGAGGTGCATTGTGGGTACATTCTATAGGTTGGGATGAATGTTGCGTGTCATGAACATTTGCCTTTCTGGGGCTTGTTTTATTTTATTTTATTTGTGTCAATCGTGGGGCTTGAACTCAGTGCCTGGCACTATCCCTGAGCTCTTTTGCTCAAGGCTAGTAGCACTCTACCACTTGAGCCACAGTGCCACTTCCAGTTTTTGAGTAGTTAATTGGAGATAAGTGTCTCATGGGGACCTTTTTGCTGGGCTGGCACTGGACTGTGATCCTCAGATCTCAGCCTCCTGAATAGCTAGGATTATAGGCTTGAGCCACCAGCTCCAGGCAAATTTTATTATTTTTGTTTATTTATGTGGTAGTGAGGAATCGAACCCAAGACCTCATTCATGCTAGGCAAGCAGTCTACCACTAAGCCACCTTCCCAACCACTGGGGCTTGTTTTGAAAGCGGAAATCACTTGGTGGAGAGGCTTGGAGACCGCTGCTGGCTTAGCGGTCTACTTGGTAGACCCCTGCAGTTCCAGATGGTCCCCGGCCTGCCTTCTCAGCTGGCTGCTAAAACCAGCCGGATATACAGACACCTCTGGCCATGGTTTAGATGTTGAGATCAATCGCTTCCCCACAGTCATTGTCATGGCTGAGCCCTGGGAAGGCAGGTTTTAATGATGTCTCTGCTTTAACTTACCCCCTTGCTACTGTTAGCCTCTGCGTCCTTCCAGTCTCTGTTCAGTTCTGTCAGCCAGCCAGGCCCGAGAGCCAGCACTGGAGCCAGGCCAGAGCCTTTAACAAAGCAGCCAGGGACTCCAAGTTTCTTTCCACATCGTCTTCCTTGTTCCTCTCTTCCTTAAGTCAACATGGATTTCATGCTTTAGACACCCACGTGAGCGAGTTACAACGTGAACGAGGAGAGGGACAAGAAACAAATCGGATCAACTTCTCTCTTGTGAAGATTTACCAAAAAAAAAAGCACAGAGAGGTTGAGTGGCTTGTCCATGTCACCCAGCTCCCAGTGGCAGAATCAAGATTAGAGAGTTTGGTTGCCTGACTTCCAGGCGGGTCTCGCTATGAGCCCCTCTGCTTTACAACCCACAGTGGTTGTGAACTGGCGATGGCTAAGAACACAGACCTGTGAGCCACACCGACCGAGGTTCAAGTCCTAGCTTTGCCACTCGAGGTGATTCCTGTTCCTCTCCCAGCCTTATTTTCCTGGCCTGTCCTGGGAGGAGCATACACCAGCAAGCCCTGGCTCAGAGTACAAGCAATTTGGCAAAGCCAATGGGATCCTGGCTGATTCCAGTCAGCCACTTAAGTCGGTGTTGTCAGTGGTGACACTTAAGTTTGCAAACCACTCCCAGACCCTTACTGTCTCCGACTTAGAGAAACTGAGGCCTAGGAAGTTTGGGTCTGTTCCCAAGGCCTTGTCTTGGCATTAGCTATAGGAGGAGTCTACATGCAAGCCCCAGAGCCAGTGATTTTGCCTTCAACCCTCTGGATTGGAGTCAGGCTTGGCCTCTTTCTTTGCAAAATGGCAGGAAAGATCAAGTTCAACAATCAAGGGTTGTCTCTACTGTCAGCTGACAATTACAGAGCCCAGAGCTCTGTAAGGGCCAAGGCCTGGCTCCGTGTCAGCTCACGGCTGTAATGTCACAGTCTTTCCCCAATGATTTCACAGGAATCTTTCCTGGCCATGAAATTGACACAGCTGGTGGGGGGGGGGTGGAGAGGGGAATGGAACTAGTGGAGCTACTTTGAGCTACTCTTGAGCACAACTCTGGATTTCTCTTCAGAACAGCACTATGTAAGAGAAATTCAGATTTGGGAGTATCTGCCATAAAAGACTCAAAAGAAGCTGGGCACCTGTGGCTCACATCTATGATCTTAGTTACTCAGGAGGCTGAGATCTGAGGATCACGGTTCAAAGCCAGCCTGGGCAGGAAAGTCTGTGAGACTCTTATCTCCAATAAACCACCAGAAAATTGGTACTGGAGCTGTGGTTTTAAGTGGTAAGGTGGGGGCTGGGAAGATGGCTCAGTGGTAGAGCGCATGCCTTGCATGCCTGAGGCCCTGGGTTCGATTCCTCAGCACCACATAAGCAAAAAGAAAAAAGCCGGAAGTGGCGCTGTGGCTCAGGTGGTAGGGCACCAGCCTTGAGCTGAAGAGCTGAGGGACAGTGCTCAGGCCCAGAGTTCAGGCCCCACAACCGGACCAAAAAAACAAGAAAGAAAGAAAAAAAAAAAAGAAAGAAAGAGAGAAAGGGAGGGAGGGAGGGAAGGAGGAAGGGAGGAAAGGAGGGAAAGAGAAAAAGAAGGAAGGAGGGAAGGGAGGAAGGAAGGAGGGAGGGAGAGAAGGAAGGAAGGAAGGAAGGCAAGCAAACAAGGATCTGACAAAAGTGTGGGAAATGCAGGCTTAGATTGTGGGTTGAGTTTTCTTTATTTAAACTCTCATTCCCATTGTGTGTGTTTGGTAAATGAAGAGACCAAAGGGTTTCCCCAGCAGGTGTGGACAGGGGTAGCAGTTGAGCACGGACAGCTGTCTTTGGGCTCTGGTAGAAGTTGGTGTGTGCCCACCTCTGAAGCCCTCTGTCTAGGCAGAGGGAGCCTGCTGGCAGGAGAGCCAATCTCTTGTTTTCCCCAGAACCTCGTCTTTGGTCCCAGATTAGATTTGAGCTGTATTGAAGAGCTGCAGGGGCCAGGGACTTTGCTGGGAGGAGTCGGAGCAGCTTTAGAGCTGGCTGCCCAGTGGCTTCGGGATTCATTTGAGTAATTTACAGACAGTCTATTTTGGTTCTCCTGGGGGCCAACCCACGTGGTTCCACCAAATTAAGCTCATCAGGCTCTTATAAAAAAGGAAACAAGGCTTATTTATTGGTGACACCTCCTCAGTGGGGAACCGTGGTACCCGCCTCCTGTTCCTCCTGCCGTATCAGTCTGAGCCTCTGGAGGCTGGATAGAGCGGGAGACAGAATGTCACACACGGAGGTCCCCTCTGGGACTGGCATGTTCAGGGTCAGCTGGATTCAGAGACTAGGAAGACAGGTGCAGGCCTGTTCTCATAGATCTGTCAGCTCATAAATGGAAAATGCCCTCAGGCAAAAGTGGATTTAATCACCCGCTATGGCTTTGATCTTCATGCTGCATCAATAGTCTGTGTGGTAAAGGCTGAGTCCCCAGCATGGCACTATTTGGGAGAGGTGGTGGTGTCTTTAAGGGGTGAGGTCTCCTAAGAGATCCTCAGGACCATGCCCTGGAAGGGATTCTAGGGCCTTCCTCTTTTCTCTTTCACCTCCCAGCTATAACACAGGGACTATCCATGATGGAAAGAAGACTCCCTAGCTGTGAACCAACACAAGCCTTTTCTTTCTGTGAGCTGACAACTGCAGTCATTTTATTACAGGCATAGAAAGCTGCCTAGCACACCACCTCACCTGCCAAGTTCTGTGATTGTAGTTACCTGGGAGCCCAGCTCACTGCTGCTGTCCAGCATTGCAAGAGAGGGCTGGAACCACAGCTCACTAGCCCAGGAAAAGAGCGACATTATAGAGAGGAAGAACAGTGCATGAACACTCCTGAGACTATTCTCTTGATGACTCCAGGCTCCTCAATGACTTTTTCGGTTTTGTATTGTTTGAGGCAGGCTCTTACCACATAGTCCAGTTTGTGCCTTGAAGTTCAGGTCCTCCTCGCTCAACCTCCCCAATGCTGAGATTACAGGCGTGCACGCCGCCACACTGTTTCCTCCACTATCAAATGATTCTAGCAACAGTACCTATTTCTCTGTTGAAGAAAAAAACTAATTAGATGAATCATGTTAAAGCGTGGTGATCAGACTGTCGTCAGGGTACGGTATGAGGACTAAGGCAATGGGATTTTGCCAGGGGGAGGGCTGGGGCTCCACTCCAAATGTGGCCTGGGGAAGCCAGCGTCCGGAACAAGAGGCAACCCGGGCTCAGTAGATCCAAATGACTAAGAGGAAGCAGGAGGGGTGAAGTGGTGGGGGGTGGGGATTCTGGCTAGACTGAGCTTGTGGGATTCTTCCTGAAGCCAGGCCAGGATGAGCAGACATCACTGGGGGAAGGGAGGGCGAGTTAGGGAGGAGAGGGGGAGGAGAAGCCTGCCTCAATTACTCAGGGTGAGCAGACATCATGGGTAAGCATTCTTACTAAGTTGACTGAGCAGAGTTCTTGCTAAACCTGGATTGCACAGGAAAGTGTACAGGTGGGCCTAGAAGAAGGTTCAACACCTGACTGAAGTTTAGCCAAGCAATGAATCTTTGTCAGTTGTCAGGTGGGAACATAAACCCAACATTGCCTTCCTGGTTTTCAAACAAGGCAACAAATCCAGATTGTTTTCAAAATGTGAAACATCTTGACTCTTGAATTACATACTAATTAAGAGTAATTATCTGTTTAAGCATGATGCAGGCCACACAAAACACATCTGTAAGTTGCCAATTCACAGCCCTGAGTTAATGTTGGACATTGTTTCTTGTTTGGGAACTAACTTGCTCCCGTATTGGTTATCTTTTGGTTTGACTGCTCATCCTGTCAACAAATGTTTATTGACTATTTACTTCATGCCAAGCATTATTCCAGAGCTGCCATTTGGCAATAATTTGCTGATATGATGGAAGAGTTGGGTTGGTAGATATATGTATGCATGCATACCTATTCATGGCTTGATGGGTGAATGGATGGATGGATGGTGGGTGAGCTGAATGGGCAGGTGGATGGATGGGTAAATGGATGAATGAATAGATTAATGGATGGATAGGTCAATGGGTGGAGAGAGATGGGTGTGTGGATGTGTAGATAGTTGAATGGGTGGATGGGGGATGGATGAGAGGATGAATGAACGGATGAACATTTGGGTGGGTGGAGGGGATGGATGATCTTATTCTTTGGAGATAAATACATTGAAATATTGCAGATAAAATAATATGATGTCTAGGAGGAAGTAGTGTATGGGATTGAATGAAGGTACAGGTTAATGGAGGTAGACCATGAAATGGTTTTTGAAGCTGAGGGAGGATATGGGGGGGTGAATGGTTCTGTGTGCTTTTCTTCCTTCTGACTGAGTTTTCCAGATTTTTTTTTGGGGGGGTCGGTCATGGGGCTTGAACTCTGGGCCTGGGCGTTGTCCCTCAGCTCTTCAGCTCAAGGCGAGTGCTCTACCATGTGAGCCATAGCGCCACATCCATTTTTCTGGTTGTTAATTGGAGATAAGAGTCTCACAGATTTCCCTGCGCAGGTTGGCTTTGAACCATGATCCTCAGATCTCAGCCTCTTGAGTAGCCAGGATTACAGGAGCCACCGGCTCCTGGCTCAGATGTTTTTCTTATTAATGTATACTAGTAGCCCAGAAAGACTTCATTGTGATATTTCTATAAATGCGTGTAATGAAGTTTGATCAATTTACCTCTTCTGTTTTAAAGCAGTTTTAAGAGGCTTCATTATTCTGTTTTCATACACACAGACAAAGTTCTTTGATCATAATCACCCCCTACCATGGAACATTGGAGTTAATGTCCAGATCCACTAGAGGCTCATCCTGAAGAAACATCATTTGACAGAATGTTGATACTGTTGCAATTGGGTCAAGTGGGGGTGGAGATTGGTTATTTATTTAAAATGGTTGTATTTTCTACAATGGTGTTAAAAGGAACACAGAGGTGAGGGGCTGGTGGCTTTCGCCTGGAATCCTAGCTATTTAGGAGGTTGAGATCTGAGGATCACCATTTGAAGCCAGTCTGGGCAGGAAAGTCTGTGCGACTTTTTTTAAAATATATTTTCACTGTAAAGATACTGTATAAAGGGGTTACAGTTACATGAGTAAGGTAATGAGTACATTTCCTATAGAGCATTGTTACCCCCTCCTTTGTTTTCCCCCTACCATCTCTTTCCTTCCCCTGTGAAACTTTTAACTGCAGTTACCCACCAGAAAACTGGAAGTGGAGTTGTGGCTCAATGTGGTACCATGCTCCCAGGCCTTGAGTTCAAGCCCCACCACCGACAACCACAACAAAAAAGAAAAGTAAGGACTCCTGGGTTCTAGAACTTTGGCAGTTGGATATCATGCACTTGAGTACTGACAGCTCTTTCCTGGTGGATAGAGTTGGCATTCAAGAAAACACTACTGGTCTATAGGAAAGGCCTTTGCCAAGTGTTGCCATGGTAACGCGAGAAACATGGGTCCTGTTGTAGATCAGGTCTGAAGGCTAGCTCTGCCAATTCTTAGCTGGGTTGCCTTGGATGTGTTATTTAACCCGCCCTGGGCCTCAGTCTCCTCATCTGTTACCCTGAGTTCATATACAAATACGTCACAGACTCATCATAGCACCTACAGCAGTTATTGTACATAAAGCGATTAGCTTACATACGGCATATTACACTTATTCTTCTGTGACCCACACTTTTGTTGTGGCTGTGACTTTTAAGTCTTCTTAGAGCTGGGGAAAATATCAACTTTCCTGAGACTGAATTTTTTTTATTTTTTTGTCTGTCATGGGATTTGAACTCTGGGCCTGGGCGCTGTCCCTCAGCTCTTATCTCAAGGCAAAGTGCTCCACCCTTGAGCCACAGCGCCACTTCTGGTTTTCTGGTGGTTTATTGGAGATAAGAGTCTCACAGACTTTCCTGCCCCGGCTAGCTTTGAACCGTGATCCTCAGATCTCAGCCTCCTGAGTAGCTAGGATAGGCGCCCTGCTAACAACTTTCCTGAGACAGAATGAAGAAACTAGTTGGAAAGCTAAAAGAAGGCTCCCTTGTCCCCTAGTCCCCCACCCGCAGCAACCATTTGTGGGCTGCTGGAATCAGCGTCCTGCCTGGTGGGTGCCAGAGGGATAAAAGCTAACAGCAGCTTTCTGACCATTTTCATTCTCTGCAGAATGAAGTGGAGCTGGGGGAGCTGCTTCTGTCTCTGAATTATCTCCCGAGTGCTGGAAGACTGAACGTTGACATCATTCGAGCCAAGCAGCTTCTTCAGACAGATGTGAGCCAAGGTTCAGGTACGGTGTGCTTCCCTCCTGCCCTCCCCTCTTCCCCCTTAATGGGACGTCTGTGCATCTGCATGAGTTTGGGAGATGTGGCTTTTCTGTGTCTTGATTCTACCCACCCCACCCCCTTGCCTTTCCAAACACTGTAGGGGGATAGATGATAAATGCTGAGTGGGCCAGTGACTTGACAGGTGGATGGGAAATGGAGAGATGAATGGATGGATGGATGGATGGATGGATGGATGGATGGGTGGGTGGGTGGATGGATGGAGAGATGGATGGATGGAGAGATGGACTGAGAGATGGATGTAAGGAGGGTTGAATGGCTGGATGGAGAGAAGACTAGATGGGTAAGAGGAGGCAGAGGTAGGGAGTTGAAGGGAGGAATGGCCAGGTGGAGAGAGAGGGAGGGGTTGGGAAGTTGAATGAATGAATGGTAGATATATCGGGTGTCACAGTTTCCAATACCCTGTACCGCTGTCCATTTTCTTAGACCCATTTGTGAAAGTCCAGCTGGTACATGGACTGAAGCTGGTGAAAACCAAGAAGACCTCCTTCTTAAGAGGTACCATTGATCCTTTCTACAACGAGTCCTTCAGTTTCAAAGTTCCCCAGGAAGAACTGGAGAATGCCAGCCTAGTGTTCACAGGTAGGCAGCGTTCTAGTCCCTCATCGGCCTAGGTGAAGTACGTGCAGCTCATTGCTTTAGAGAAGAGAAGCTTCTAGACAGCTGAGAACCTCACGTCTGATGTCCAGCTACCTGGGGTTGAGTCTACTCACCATCTGTGAATTTGTGCAAGACTCACAGAGCCATAGGAGCAAAGTTGCTACACATCTTAACTCTTGAGCTAGATTTCCCACAGTTGCTTCATAGTGACTGAGGGCTTTGGCAAGTTCACGCCTTCAGAGCCTCGGTTTCCCTCTCTATAAAATGTGAACAATAAGTGTTCTGTACCATGATGATGTGTGACTATGAAATAGTCCCAGCTGGGTAGCAAGAACTCACTATCTGGTCAGCTATGATGGAGGTGAGAATAATGATGATGGTCCTGATAGTGGGGGTGATGATGATGATGGTAGTGGTGATGAAGATAATTGAAGTTGCTTGGTTTAATAGAAGCACATGAGAAAACAGGGCTACCTTACTCAAAAAAGAATTCATGATACTTAAGTAGAGCCATCATGTGCCACTGTCTGGTAGAATTGGTAGGTTGTTCATGTTGTCCTTTGTTTTCAGGATGCTTTAGTTGTCTATCACTTGAGTAACAAATCACCCTACAATGCAGTGTCTTAAATCAATACACATTTGCTCTCAGATTGCCTGTGGCTTAGGAGCCTAGCCATAGCATTGCTGTGTGGTTGTGGCTGCGTATCTCTGACCAGGTTGCCGTGAAGGTGTTGGCTAGGGGCTGCAGCCTCATTTGAAAACTCATATTGGGAGGAGCTGTTTGTAAGCTCTCTTGTGTAGCTGTTGGCAGGATTCTGCTCTTTGGAAGCTGTGGACCAGGAAGTGGGTCATCTCAGTTCTTCTTGATTGGTGGCTTTTAATGACTTTCCTTGATTCCTTGCGCTCCCCCCGCCCCTCCAACCCCAGGCTGCTTCATGGGATGACAGGTAATTTCTACCTGTTTGGTCAACCATGGGAACAAGAGAGGGCAAGAAAGGGTCGTTTTGTAATCTAGTATCAGAAATGACCTTCTATCATTCTTTTCCCCCTATTCTGCTCATTTGAAGTAACTCACTGGGTGTGATGGTTTGGGTATAAAGTGTATCGGCAAAAGGGTTACATGTCATACGCTTGGTCTCCAGCTGATGGCACTATTTTGGGAGGCTGTGAAAAGTGGAGCCCAGCTGGAGGAAGTAGATCGCTGAGGGGGTGGGTCCTTCAGAGTATCTTGTCCCTGGCTCCTTCCTGTCTCTCTCCCTCTCTCTCTTCCTGGCTCCTCCTCCAGCCCCTCCCTCTTCCTTTCCCTCTCTCCTTCCTGTCCACCATGAGGTGAACAGCCTCCACTGCACACCATTCCCACCACCATGTTGTTCTTCCCACATACGTGTGTGTCCAGGCAAACCTAGACCAAACCATGAGCCAAAGATCAGTCCTTCCTCTGTTAAGTTGCCTCTCTTGGGTGTCTTGTCACTCACAGCAGTGTGGAGAGCCAGCTGACATCTCCGTCCAGCCAGTGCTCAGGAGGAAGGGATCTACCAAGAGCGTGGGTAGTGGGAGGTGAGGGTGAAGGGGGACATCTTAGAAACTGCCCCCATGACGGGAGTAACTGGTTATCCTGTCATGTGACCTAATCATGGCAGGTAGCTCCTGTGTTTCATTGCTAATCCTCACCGTCACCCACCCTGTCCACTCAGGGTCACCATCCTGGGTTTCTTCAAGCACTGCTGTCCATGGGCACCCAATAGGAACAGTCCCATGTCAGGGCACCTGGAACTGTCCTCTGTGGACAGGGTCTAGACTCCTGGTCCCTGGCCTGCCACTAACCTGAGCCATGGCTGAGGCATCTTCTGATGAACTGACAGTGTCTTGTCACCTCCACCCAGCGGGCCCCTCCATCAGTGGATGGTTCTGGACTCTCTCAGGGCCTGTCGCCCGCAGAATCTGCTTCCCATCAGAGGACGCCTGCCCGTGTGGGCACAGGGATCCTGGCAGGCTGTGACAGCTGCTCTCCGGATCCTGTTACACACAGCCCAGGGCCACGCTCCATGCTTCTAGGACAAGAGCGAGTACAGAATCCTTAAATGGCAGGCAAGGCGGGCAGCGGGACTGTATGAACCAACACAGGTCACAGTGTGAACTGGCTATCTCCCAGTCTTCCTAGACACCAAGGAGTTCCTGTTGTGTCTGAGAGCACATTTGGGAAGCCCTGACAGTTGCATACATCTCCCGCCCCCCCAAACTTTAGGACCACCACGGCTGATGTTGGTTGCGGCTGAGTGACACACAGCAAGGTGCACAGAGACACAGAGCAGAGCATAAGTGTGGGGACGGGGAGGCAGCCTGGATCCTGACTCCACCTCCTCTGCCTTGGTGGCCCTGGGCAAGATCCGGGTGCCAGGAAGTGGGAATAATAAACAAGAGCCTCTTGCTTAAGTAGATTAAATGAGAGCAACACCGAGGCAATGCTGAGCTTTCTGCCTTGCACAGAAAAAGGCACTTTATAACAACGGCCTCAGGAGACCTTCCTCCCTTCCACCTCTCCCTCCCAGTCCTTCCTCCCAGAAGTCACTGCCTTTGGCATTCTGGTGTGTATCTCTCCCCTCTCCTCCCCACACATACCCCACAGACACTTTTCCCCCACTTGGCAAGAAAAAAATTTCCCACACGGAGAGGATTTGGCCTTTTCCAGAGCTATTTGAGAAGCCAGGTGCCAGCGGCTCACGCCTGTAATCCTAGCTACTCAGGAGGCTGGGATCTGAGGATCATGGTTCAAAACCAGCAGAGGCAGCAAAAGTCCATGGGATTCTTATCTCCAGTGAACCGCCAAAAACCCAGAAGCGAGCTGTGGCTCAAAGTGGTAGAGCACTAGCCTTGAGCAGAAGAGCTCAGAGACAGCACCCAAGCTCTGAGTTCAAGCCCCACAACTGACAAAAAAAAAGTGCTATTGGTGAGCCAGGCACACTGGTTCATACCTGTAACACCAGCTACTTGGGAGGCAAAAATAGGTGGTATCCATCTAGGCTGAGCTGCCCCGTTCTTGAGTATAAAGTCCCTGAAGTTCTAACTGGCATGATTTGGTAACTGAGAAAAAGAGCTCTCACCTCTAGCCTGCTGATCTGAAGCCCAGCCCAGGCCTGTGTTTCCAAACACTTCCTAACACAAGTCAGCTTGATGGGCATTTTAATCCCTAGGCCAAGCCAGTAATGAACCTGTGGGCTGGGCTTTCCCTGGGAGAAGGGAGGAGGAAGGCTGCTCTCCACAGGTGGCTTCAGTGATTCAAGCTTCAAAAAAGGGAGAGAGGGGAAAGTTGGTTTTTCAGTGGTATAACACATGATCTGGAGGCTTCCAGAACATTCTGGGAGATTAACTTAAGTGGAGTTGGCTATAGAGGGAGAAGGGAGGAAATGGGGGGGGGGGAGAGGAGGAGGGGAAGGAAGGAGGGAAAACAGGAGGAAGAAAAGGGAGAAGGAGGGAGGGAGAGAAGAAGGACAGGAGAAGGAGGGAGGGAGGGAAGGAAAGAGGGAGATAGAGCAACACAAGACCCCTGGTGGGTTGATGTCTTCCTGAGAGGCCCCTGGGAGTCAGGGCAGCATGGCGGTTGGTTAGAGACAGCGCTTTCTTTACTAGGAGTAGATGGGGTGCTGGGAGTCAGCCTGGAGGAGCACCCCGCTGTCTGCCCACCCTGTCTGCCGACCCCACCCCCACCCCCCGCAGCTGCTCTGACAACTGACCTGGGCATAGGCTTCCAGGGACCCATTGGCGATCGCCAGTGCTGGAAGTGTGCATGGCTTGCTCTTCCCCAGGCGCTAGTGTGCCCAATGAGGTGTAGGGAGCATGGCTGGCTTCAGGCTTTCACACACACACACACAGAGTCCCCAAAATGACTAGGCACTGTGGCCTGTGACTGTCCTCCTCATCCAGTGCCACAGGGAAGCACAAAGAGGAGGATCTGTAGTCCAGGCCTGCCTGAGTATAGAGAGCTTAGCCCCAAAGGAGGCTGGAGGCATGGTTCAAGTGGTAGAGCACCTGCTTAGCAACCGTGAGGCCCCCAGATTCAATCCCCAGTTCTACCACCAACAAATCCTGACACCTGGACCCCAATCTACAGGAAAGAAGGCAGCCTGGCCGCTGGACTTTTCAGAGCTCCACAGAGGCTCTCCTCCACGACCTGGCTTGGCCAGCCTTTGCCTGCTCCGCTGTGATTGCCTGCCCACCCACTCTGGCTTAGGAGTCCTGCCAGGCCCTGCCACGGGTGCCAAGGCACCTGGTCTGTTTTCCATAATGACTTGGCCTTCTGCAGTTGAAGCAGCAACCCTGCTCACTGACTGAGATGAGCAGGGCGGTACCACAGGGTAGACAAGCAGCCACCTGCTCCCCTGGAAAGACCCCTAGTCCTGGGGGAGGGGAGACATGAACAGAGCTAGCCTGAAATGTGGGGGAGAGAGGCCTGGGGAGCAGGCAGAGGACATGCCGAGCATGTCCAGGAGACAGAAAGGAGGGAAGCAATTTCGAGAGGCATTGCTGGTCTCAGGGGAGAGAGAGGCTGTGGGGGTGCTCCGTGGCCTGTCTCCCCAAGTCCCTGCCACAACCCACTCCTCTCTGGGGCCATCCAGTGGCCCCCGTCCCTCCCAGCCTGGCTTAGTGGACCCCCGCCTCAGCTCTGCCTCCTAGTGGTCACATGGACCGTGGATTGTTGGGCACAAGCTACAATGTGTCTTCAGTACATGGCCTTGGGTGAAGAGTTTCTCTTCTGCTCTGAGCTTCCCATCCCAAGCCTGAAGATCATTAGCCTTAGCTTGCCTCTCACGATGATCAGTGATCAGGCACCACTAGATGAAGCGATGCTGATACCGATGATGGATAGTCTCCAAGAGGAGCAAAGCCTGCAATCACATCCACTTAGGTTTATATCTTGGCCTCCCCCATTAATTAGCTGTGGGACCTTAAGCAAGTGACTTCACCTCTCAGAGCTCTGTGTACCC